GAACAAACTTCCTAGTGGAAAAGAGTTACAAGTGGAGTCCCTCAAGGATCAGTACTTGGACCACCGCTATTTTAGCTCTTTGTCAATGACTATCCAGATGGCATAGCAATTATACCAAGTTATACGCAGATGATAGCAAGATCATAGGAATTATAAATAACAATCAATCATCCTCTGATTATGAAACACTGCAAACGGACATTGACAACGCTGTAAGTTGGTCACATAAATGGTTTATGCACTTCAACATCGAGAAGTGCAAAGTAATACATGTTGGTTGCCGCAATCTCCAACGTGCATTGAGCGCGACCTTGGGGTACTAATATCCGACAACCTAAAAGTGAAAGCACAAGTAGAAGCAGCAGCTTTGGCCGGAAATCAAATGCTTGGTCGCCTCAAAAAGACATTTCGATGCTGTAGTCTCCAGCTTTGGAAAAAATCGTACCAGCTATACGTTCGACCGCATCTAGAGTATTGTGTACAAGCCTGGTTTCCACATCTAAAATCGGAAATCATCCTTCTCGAACGTGTGCAAAAAATGTGCAGCAAAAGTTATATCGTCGATTAAACATTTTAATTACGAAAAACAACTACAACTACTAGATCTAACCACGCTAGAAGAACGCAGAATTTGCAGTGACCTTATTCTGCAATACAAAATTGCTCATCAGTTACAAGAAGTTAAATTTTACAAACCACAAGCCCGGCCTTTTTTGTTAAATTCACGATATAATCTGAGAAGAAACAGCCGATGTTTAAAACCACAACTGATCAAAAGAAATTCAGAACGTCAGCACTTCTTTACAAACCGAGTTACTAACCGATGGAACAAATTAGCTCAGAATGTAGTTGATGCACCCACTGTGCACTTTTTTAAAAAACACGTTTAAAATGCTGCTTCGGCTGCAGCAATGCCCATTGTCAGCATAGGAAAGCTTGATGTGCTTCCCTTCATCAATTCAACCAAAAAATTGTTTGAAAGTTAATCAAAATAAACAATGGAATGATGTCTGCGAAACATAAGTCCTCTATGAGATTTTACTTTTTTTACTAAAGTACAAGGCATTTTTCCAGCACAAAAAATGCAAAAACTTCGAATCCACTTAACTTCTGGAGTTGAAACATCCCTTGTTCTTTAGGCCTTTTAAGCTCCATTTAACTATGTTAATTAAAAAAAAATCTTGTGCACTGGCTGCCATTTAAAATTAAACATTTTTTTGTAAAAACAATTGATAACTATTGTTTTTATTTTCTAATGATTGGACTGTTTTTTAATTTATTTATTACAGTATTTGAATACATTTGAATACACGTGACCTTTAACAACCAATGAACGCGCTATTAAAAGTTACAACTTTTGGTATTCTATCCACGGCGAAAAAATGACACAAACTCTACACAAAAATCCTAAAATTCGAAAAAGAATTGTTATTTTTTAATAAACCGACCTTAAAGTCTTTAAACGCTGCACTGTGGACCAGAGATGAGTTTAGGTTTAATGGAGTGTCACTCAAGTGAAACCTTTTTATTTAAGAGTATTTGTATTATAACAATAAAAAAGAGATTTTTAAAAATCCGAATAAATTGCTAAAGGTCATAAATGGGGCAAAAGGGTAAACACAAGAGGGGCATAAGCCCATTTATGTGTGCTAGTTGCAAATTACAAGAAAAAAAAAATTTAATCAAGAGTATTAGTTTCATAAAAATAGAAAATAGCGTTTTTTAAGTTAAAAAAAAATGCTAAAGTTCACAAATGGGGCAAAGGGTAAAATTGAGGTGGACATACGCCCATTTTACCATTTTAGGTGCCCGTTAAATTTTTCTTTTAAAAATAAATGTCAAATAAGTTGAACAAAATATTAAGTAACAAAAAAAATTTTAAATTTTATAATATTACTGTAAATATTTTACGTCATCCAACAAAAAGTGAATAATTGTTCTTCCGGGTCTTGAGCAGTATGTCAAAGTTAATGATAAATTAAACTCTTCTTCCATTAAGGCTTATTTAAAGTTGATTCACGCATTGAGTATGCTTTTTTAAATATATATATATATATATATATATATATATATATATATATATATATATATATATATATATATATATATATATATATATATATATATATATATATGAGTAAAATTAGGGAAAGGTTACTACATCTTTCTAACAATATCTGTGCATTTATCAAAGATTATCTGTACACTTTTTTCCAACATCTGTATTTTTTTTATACTTTAACAAAACCTTTTCCAATATCATCTAGAAATTCAATGATCTCTAACAATATCTTTACGAAGATGTAACTAAATCTAGGAATTTTTTGAAAAATCTCACATCACAAAGTGTAGATCTGTGTAACAGAACTTTGTGGATGAAGTATTAAAATTAGTTCTTTTTTAAGTTTAGTTCTATTAAATTCAGTTTTATTAAATTATTAAGTTTTTTAAATACTATTAAGTTTAGTTTTTTTTAATTACTATTAAGTTTAGTTCTATTAAATGTTCTTTCGCTGATATTGTCATGTTAGGTCATTTATACAATTACAAACTGATTGAATGTACAATTTGATTGAATTTTAAATTTTTTCAAATTTAAATAAAGCTAAACTAACTTAATCTAAACTAACGTAACCTGAATGTCTTATGACAGTTTTACTAACCTTAACCTCATATACCAGAGTAAAAAAGCTGTTTTCCCCTAAAATTAACATTCAGTCAAATTGTATATTTGATGTAATGGTCCATTCTATAAGGTTTTAATTTATCTATTGACTGTTTGCATATTGTTTTATTTGATTATTGAAAAGATGTAACTACATCTTCAAGTTTCACAGACTCCATTAGGCTTAAGTAGGCCATGATAATATGATAAATACAACATTCTTTGATGAAATTTTATGGTTGAAGTTTACGTAGCATACTTCAGCCAAAAAAATCTCAATGCAAAAATTGCTCTAAAATAATTTTGTCAAATCAATTTTTAAATTCAATTTAGCTTTTTAAATAAAAAACTGACCATAGTAATTTATTTCATAAGGGTACAATTTGGTTCCTGAGAATGTATTTTTTCTTGTGATTTACCATGATAATTTGATTTGAGAGCATCTAACATTACTTGCAGGTCTGTGTGCTGACAGGAAATATGGTTAGGAGTTGATGTGATTTGATTAACCTCATTGAATTTCTTTATTACTTTAAAATAATAAAATACCAAGTCCTTGTTTCTCTTCTTTGTTCAAGAGTTTGCAGATTAAGATAAAGAGCTTATATAAATAATCTAAGAATCTATCTTAATCTCGATTTCATTTTGCTGGAATTTCTTGTTAGTTTAGCTGCCCTTTCAAGTAATGCCTTAAAGCCTTTACAACTTATTGTTGTTTAAAGGTTTTAAAACAGACCCACAATATTGTAAAGAAAAGTTGAACAACAGAATACAATACAATCTAAAAAAATAGACCCAATCCATAGTTTAAATGTCTGCTTAAACATTATTAGGATTAGATTTTGCTTGTGGTGTATCTTATGTACTTGTTCCATTCTTATGGCTTTGCACTAGACTTGGCGTATATCTTGCATAACCTGGAGTAAATTGACATAAGTAAGGTGTTCTGTCATCTGTTTTCTTCATCTTTGCATGAATTTAGTTGTAAATGAAATTAAAAAGATATGAAAGGAGTTAATTGAACAGGTAGGTAAGATATTAAAATATTTACAGAGTGAAAAAACATCAGTTGTTAATTGTTATAAGATTATGGTAAACTTAAGTTCTTATGATTGTTTGAGAAAACCAAAAGATGCAACTGGTTGACTGAAGGTAGTCAACTAGTTGCATCTTTTGGTTTACTCAAACCATCAAGTATATATCTTGCAGTGAATTCTTGATATCTTTATTTAGCCATCTGAAGACTGATACATGGCCCCCACAAACCATTGTGGGGACAATTTTCTGCCAGTATTATCTGATCATATCTATATCACGCTAATCGTTATTATTTATTAAAATTAGATCAAGAAAATTCTGAAAAAAAAATTCTGAAAATTTGAAAAAAAGAAAGTCTGAAAAATGGTTAAGTATTATAAGTAAAAGTCATTAACAGTTTTTAAAATTTTACTTTTACTTTGACAATACCTCCTATCCCAAGTCTTATATGGTTGGTTTAAATCACCAATTGTTACTTCTTTTTTGTTAGTGTTATTTCTATTATAATTATCATTGTCATTGAAATTATTATTTATTTATTTCTTGTTTTCTATTTAGATAATTGTTTAATGTTGTTAGTTGTTACGTTTTATCAGTTTTTTGACTATAGTGTATATATAGCTATTGTGTTTATAAAAACAAATAACTTCTTTCTATTTTTTATCGTTTTTATTATTTTTATTATTACTATTGTTGTTTTTATTATTTTTATTATTATTATGTTTTATTATTATTAGTAGTAATATATATATATATATATATATATTGTTGTGATTCTTATTTTTACTAATATAAATAATATTTTTATTACTGTAATCATTTTCATTAGGTGTTCACTTAATGCTAGCAATATTACTATTTGTAAAAACCTTGATATTTGACCACCTACTATTTCAGAAATATATTGATAGGTTGACTATTCTACAAATAAAGTGCTCAATGTTCTTAAAGAACAGAACAGTAATGAATTAATAAAAACACTCTAAACTTCTTCTACTGTCTGTTTCATCTTTAGCCGGTTCATTATGAAAAAACTTTTTACATTCTTCCTGATAGATCTGTTCAAGACAAAACATACTAGAAGAAATTTAGTTAGACAAAACATACTAGAAGAAATTTTTTTTGCAAATATATATATATATATATATATATATATATATATATATATATATATATATATATATATATATATATATATATATATATATATATATATATATATATATATATATATATATATATGTACAAAGCCGATTTTTGTATTAAAAAACTTTTACCAATATCACTTTTATTTTAGAAACAAAACAATGAGTTCTATGCTGCAAACTACAAATGTCCTAATGGTGAGAAAATTAAACATCTTTTATAAAAAATTATTTTAACAAAAGAAAAGGAAGTTTTTTTTTACATAAATTATTCATTTGAGTGAATTATTTTCTCTTTGCACAATTTTCGTTATCTTTTTACATTGTTCAACTAAACCACAATCTTATATTTTTAAACTTTATTTTTGCTTAATTATATTCTATTGGTTTGAAATTTACAAATTTTTTCAGTGGTTACTGTTTAATTTTAAACATAGCTAATAGCAAACACATATTTGCTTTATATTTTTTTGTAATTTTCAATAGTTTCAGATACACTAGATAACATATTCAAATTCAATTACACAACTATTAATATATCAGTTTGTTATTAACCAAATGAATAATTTTGTTTAGGATGGCAGCAGAGATGTGAAAAGTGCTACCTATATGTCAATGAATCAAAACAATGGACAGATGCTCAATATTACTGCAAACAAAATGGAGGAAATCTTGTTACAATAAAGGAGGATGCTGTTAATCTTTTTTTGGCAAGATATGTTCAGTATTCAAGCAGGCTTGCTATAACAATTTGGACTGGTAAATAAAAATATAAAATGTTTTCTTATATTTTTTCTTATGATGCGCATTAGTTAATAAAAACCTTTTTTTTTTTTTTTTTTTTTTTTTACATAATTTTTAACACATTTTTAAACAATAAAATAAATAAACAATAAATATAAAATAAATACACAATAAAATATATAAACAATAAAATAAATAAATGATGAAATAAATAAACAATAAATATTTTGAAGAATGATAATAAGTATTAGGTCATTTTGAATAAAAAATTTAAAAATTAAAATATTTAAAATTTTGAACTTAAGCAGTTGTATCCAGAGCTGGAAAAAACCGACTTTTTATTATTTCAGATAGTGGGTTTTTGGGTCTTTTTGGTTTTTTGGGTTTTTAAGTTTATACAATCATAATATGGAGATTTCCAGAAAATTCAATGAATATCAGAACGAAATTGTTTAAGATATTAAAATTTTAGCAAAAAATCATAATAATAGTTATCAAAACTTAAATTGTAAAAACAGAAAACCCAAAAAACCCAAAAATTCTATATCATTGGGTTTTTTAAAAAAATTCAAAAAAACCAAATCCCAAAAATTCCACTTTGTCCAGCTCTGGTTGGTCATTTTAAACTCTAACTTGAATATAATTTTATTTCCAGAGGTTGTGATTTTTTGTTTTCGTGATTTTTTTATTTTTTTAAAAGTGTGTTCATTAAAATAAGAAATTAGGCTAGGCTTAGTCAAATTAAATGTTTAAAAAAAATTTTTTGTTTTTATAAAGATGGCTTGCTCCATTTTTTTGTGTAGATAGTCTTTATAATAACACTTGTTTTACAAAATTGATTCCTTTTAAAGATAAATTATTTAGCTGTGCTTCAGTGCCTAACTTCTCAGACCCTTTTTAATATAATAAAAAACTTTAAATAAAACATTTACTTTTTTATTTACGTTTTTTTTTTTTTTTTTTTTTTTTTATTTCTACTTTTTAGTTATTTTATTATATACATTCAAAAAAAAGACTAAAATACAAACTTTTTGTAGACACTTTCTTGAACTGATAGTAAACTTTCTCAGTGCTTCTGAATTATTTCATCACTATTGTGATTGTTGTAAATGGTGGAACTTTAATTTCTAGTTGTTGTTGTTATTATTATTATTATTATTATTATTATTATTATTATTATTATTATTATTATTATTATTATTATATATGTATGTGTATATATAAATATACACTGCTGTCCATAATTATTTGAATGGTGGTACTTCTTGAAATAAGATATCATCATTTGAAAAAGAAGCTGTTAGCAAAGTCTACCTGAATTACATGTTATCTTCCTTTTTATTATGTTTACAAAAAAATTTATATAAAGTCGATTAGAATAATTTATAATTTACTTGCCTTTTAATCACCCTTAGCGACAATAACTGCCATACATATTCTTAGCACTCTACTTAATAACATATCCAATTTGTTGAAGTCAATTTTATGCCTCTAAATAATAAGTTTTGTCCATATCTTATGCATCATTTGACATTAGTTTTTGACATTACTTTTAATTCTTCCCATAAAAATCCGATAGGAGAGAGATCTTGTGATTGGGAAGGCTAAATCATTTTATTTAATATTTGATCGTTCTTGAACTCAGTCAAGTTTAAACAAGTTTTTGAAAATTATGTTTTAGATTTAAGCTTTAAGTCATTTTCTTTTGAAAAAAAGAATAGCTTCTCATTAACCCTTCTTTCCAAAGGTGTAGCGTAATTTTTTAAGTGTACAAGTAAACTACTTTTGTCATTACTCCCTCTATTTTCACAAAGTCACTTGTGGTACCTTAACCAAAACTGCTCCACACCTTAACACTACATCCACCATGTTTTATAGTCAATAATACACATTATTTTATCATAAACTCAACGATTTTTTTTTCTAGACAAACAATCTTATCTTTAAACCAAAGATTTAAAACTTCAACACATCATTCTGCGTTTACAGTCATTGATGGTCCATTTTTTATGTAGTTTTGCCCACTTTAGGATTTTTGTTTTTCTTAAGATTTTTATCGAAGCATTTTAACCAAAATACTTTTAAATTGTCTAATAGTGCAAAAATAAACATAAATAATAGCATTTTTAAAAAAAGTTAATGCCATTCAAATAATTATGAATAGTAGTGCGTGTGTGTGTATATATATATATATATATATATGTATATATATATATATATATATATATATATATATATATATATATATATATATATATATATATATATATATATATATATATTGGAACTCTTATAATTTAAAAGATCAATCAAATCTAACAAATTTTTTGGTACTTATATGGTTTAAATTTAGAATTAAAAGAATATTTAATTATAAATATAAATATATTAATAAAAATATATAATATCCTCTTAGATCTTTAGGGACCAATTTGCTTGAAAATAAATAAAAAATTGCTGAAATGCTGAATCTAAAGTTTCTTTTCACAAAGAAAATCTAAACTATTTCCCAGATTTTCTGTTACAAACCAACATCAAATATGATGACAACACTGAAATTATTTTTGAATTGAAAGTGGTTGAAAAAAAAAGAGGGTTAGACAAACATAAATCAAGTGTCATTGATGGAGTTTATCCCCATGTTCTCTTTAACTGTTCTGAGTCATTGTCTAACTCAATTCTGTTCTTATTTAACTTTTCATTTAATAAAAATGATCAACGTGGCTTTGTTAAGAAAAAACCATGCACAACAAACATACTTGAATTGTTTGATCTAATTACAAAAGCTATCAATAAGAGAACAGCATTCCAGTTGATATAACATTTACAGACTTTAGCAAAGCATTCAATAAAGTACCACACACAAGACTTTGTTTAAGAAAATTAAACTTTGTTTAAGAAAATTAATAGCTTACAGAATAATAAATAAGGTGCTTTAGTAAATAGGAACTGGACCATAACCTACTTAAAAGATTGAAAATAGCATGTTGTACAAGGAGACACTGTATCAGATTGGCTTCATGTGCTTAGTAAGGTTCCTCAGGGCTTTACTCTTGGGTCATTATAATTTGTAATTCTCATCAACGACTTGGCATCACAAATTAAAAATAATTCAAACTTTCTGTAAATGACACAAAAATGGTTGGAATCATCAAAGAAAAAAATAGTTCAATCAGTTTGCAAAACTTTATATCAAAATGGTGGTAAAAATGGTAAATGAGAGCAAATATAAAGAAATTCACATTAGTAAATTGAATAAAAGTTTAAACACCAGGTATATGGGCATCAAATTTCGAAAGTAGATTTTGAGAAAATTTTGAAAGTGATAATCAGCTCTGACTTAAATTGGAACTGGCAAATCAAATCAAATTGTCTTGTTCTGTTGTCTGACAACACTATTGTCAACACTAGAAGAACAAACTAGAACAACAACACTAGAACAACAACACTAGAACAACAACACTAGAACAACAACACTAGAAGAAAGATGAATAAGAGGATACCAAATACAACAATTTAAAAATGGACTATATAGAATAAACTTTTGTTTAAGTTCAATCCAAGAAAATAATGACTACGGCTCAAGTCAAATAAACTTTCTAACCAGAGAAATGGTTAGAAAGTTTAAATAAGTCTTATGTCCAGTACAAATTCTTTAAACAAAACTTCAAACAGTACAACTTCTTCAAACAGGATTTACACATATTTAAATTACACATATTTAAAATTAAATTACGCATATTTAAATTACACATATTTAAAAGATGGAATCAACTGCCAGTAAACTGTAAAAACTCAAAAACAACAAACATTTTTAAAAACAACTATGATAAATTTACAAAAAATTAAAATTTAAAACTTCTATAATGGTCTTTATATAGACATTTCTCAAGAATTGTTGTTATATTTGGATAATAATAATAATAATAATATTAATGATAGTTATGTTAAAGTAATAAATGCTATATAAATTTGCAGGTCTACATGCCAGAAAAGTTCATAAAGAATTTCAATGGGTTGATAATTCAGAATCCGTACATTATGAGTTTCGATGGTTACCTGGGCAGCCAAATATGGTTACATTAGATGAAGGTTGTGTGGAGATGTATACTAAATCAAGGCAATATCTTTGGGACGATGTATCTTGTAGTAAAGAATCACCTTTTGTGTGTCAGGTAATATATCAGATATTTAAATTAGCTATTAAAAATATTTACAAAAAAATGTTTATTGTTAAGACAAATATACATTTTTTTCTGACAAATTCAAAATGTTTATGCTGGTCTTCTCTATAAACTTGCTTCATATTGTATCTGGAAAAGTTTTTCAAAGTATCAAATTGTTTTTTTCTAACCACAAATTATTTCTTCTAACCAAATTTTTTCTTTCTATCCTTGGTCCAGCTTTGTTCCTTATCTACATCAATGATCTTCCTGACAACCTTACATCTAAAGTCTCTATTTGCTGATATTTGCTTAACTTTATACTCTTATACTTTATACTATTTCTTGTTATATTTATTTCTTATTTTTATTTCTATTCTCTAAAACATTTCTAAAACTTGGCTCCATTTTTATATTGCACCTCAAGTAGTATAACAAAGGGGAGAAAATGGGAAATAAAAATTGCAAGTTTTTAAAAATTGAATTATTAAAACAGCATAAACAATGCCCTTCAAATTTAATAATTAATTAATTATTATATACTTGGCTAATGTTTTAAAATATATATATATATATATATATATATATATATATATATATATATATAATATATATATATATATATATAAACATATATATATTAATATATATTTATATATGTTAGGAGTGTTCGATTTCGCTTTCCTTCCGAGAAAGTGGAAATTTTTTAAAATAATCTATGTTGTCATAATAAAAAATTATACGAAAGAAATTGTTTCAATTATACGAATGTGACATTAAAAAAAGCTAAGTTTTAATGACTTTCCAAATTTACAAGAAGTGGAAATTTCCAATTTACTTTCTTTAATTTTTTCCATTGTAATAAAATTATAATATTATTATTTAAATTCGACTTTACTTCCCCACAGTGGGCCTAGAGGTGGAAATAGACAAAAAATATTGGTTTGAAAAAGTCTATAAAAGTTATTTATTCAGAAAGTCAGATAAATTTGTGGATAAAGATAAAAAAAATTAAGTTTCTAGCTAATTTCTAAGTGACGATATGCAATTTTGAAGTTGATAAATTTCCAATTTTTTGTGTATCTAAGTTTAGTAAATTTGGTTTCCATTCAAAAGAATTTACTGACCTGAAAATTAATAAACCACTAATGTAAAAGTTGTTTTTAATTTGATATGGAATATATTTTTAAATAAATAAATTTAAAAATTTGTTATTTAAAAAAAAAAAAAATTTTAAAGCTTTTAAAACCTAATTATGTAATTATGTTATAAATTAATAATTTAAATTATGTACATTTATGTTAATGTTTTTTACACAAAATCAGATTAAATCTTAGATTTCTAAAGTGTTAGCTTGCCTCTACTGTGTCATACATTTTTAAAATATTAAACATTTTTTATTTTCAAATATTTTAAGGGAATTGAGGCAAGTTAGCACTTTTTTTTATTGACGTGATTTAAAAAAGTTGAACAATAGTTATTTTTTTTTTTTTAAAAATGTGAATAAAAATAAAAATTTTTGGTTACAAATATGAAATTTTTTTATTTTTTATTTGATTTTGTGTTTGTTTTAGCAGAAGTAAAGTAAAATAAAAAATAAATGTAATGGAGGAAAATAAAAATTTAAAATACATCTTAGAAATAGGTTTATTCACACAATTTATTAAAACTGACAAAACTGTTAAGTCAAATTCAGTAACATATTCAGCCATTATAGAAATACTTTTTAAGTTTTATAAAAATTTTATAAAGTTTTATAAAGTCTTTATAAAAATTTTAAACTATCAGTTAATTCACTGGAATTTGAAAATGTGTGTGAAAAAACATGGAAATGTTATAAATGCCTGAAAGAGAAACATTTCAAGAAAAATGGATATGTATTTATACTTTCACAAGCATCAAAAGATATTATTTATGAAGTAGAGGATGTTTACATAACAGAACCGTGTCTTTTAAAACAAAGAAAATCTTTTACAAAACTGGGTGATAAGATGAAAAAAGAGAAGACGCAGGAACTTCTTAATTATAAAAACAACTTTATCACTAATGAGTGCCCAGAGTTGCATGTTAACCAGTTATTGGGTTAACATATGCCAGTAGACAGCGATGAATATCAGATGTGTTTTAAATATGGTTGTGACGGAGCAGGGCAACAAGTATCAATAAAATCAAAAGAAATGATTGAAAGCAAGTCAAATATGTTTCAATATGGTTTTATTCCTTTGAAACTAATATGCCATTGAGATTATTACGCACTGTGTTTTTGATAAGAAAAACAGAAACTAATCAAGATTTGCTAGATCTTATTGTCCCAACTACTGATGATGCAAGAGAAGAGTTAAATACTCAAGAAATGTGTCATCTGTTTGGAAAAAACTATATCAATGTCAAAATTTATATTCAAGATATGAGATAGTATAAAATTTACCAAATGCACTATAGTATAAATAATTTCAGGAGTTGTGCAATAACACTACATTTAACATTTACTGGTGTGAACAAAGATATTAGTAGCTATTTAATGCTTCTCTCTTGTTTGACATCTAGAGCAACTTACTGGTGTGATGGTTTGTCTTTACGAGAGATCAGATCCTTATGTTTTAAAGCGAATTATTCATTCGCATCCTCTAAAGTTATGCCAAGATTGTGAACGTATGTTTTTAAAACCAAAGAGATATTTTGATGAAAAACCTTATTTATGATTAATTATAAAGTTATTAATATTTTTTACTATTTTAACTTTTAACTTCAAATATATTATATTTAACAAGTTCAAATCATAAGAATTCTTTCCTTATAATTTTATTATTCTCACATTATTTTAAATCCAAATTTGACAGAATGCTTGTTTTTAAATACTAAACTACTTATCAATAGAGCAGTAGAAACCAGACTCCCATGTTATTTAAATTTTTGAACTTTCTTTTATTTAAGTATATCTAATAAATTACTTTTTTAATTTTCATCTAAAAACAAACTTAAATTTGAGTATTTATCAAAAAATACTCATTTATCAAAAATGACCAAATATGGTAATTTGAGCTCAGTCCACAATTTTAGTTAAATATTAAAAATTTAGTATTTCTTATAACAAGCAAAAAAATAATATCTTTCTAAAAAATGCTCAATGAGTTTTCTAGGATTTCTTAATCATTAGTTATGATCCTATTTCCAAAACTTTGTCTTCTGTGTCCACTGTGATATAATGCATTTGGTAACTGTATTAGGTCAATAGCATACACATGATTTGCTAAAAAATATCTGCTCACTAAAACTGATTAGTCGAGAATTTTCAATTCTGATTTTTTATTATTTTGAAAAGCATATCAATTGTTTTCTTTTCATCAAACTTGAATAAAAGTTTTAGTGTTTTAATGTGTAATAAAATTATTGCAAATTTATTATAATTTAACTATTTAAAATGTTATGATACATGCATATATATACAGGCCACAGCAGGAGTAAATGAATGTGAACTGAACACAAATATTTACAAATATTTCTATTTAAAATTGATGGGTTTCTAAATATTTATTTGTAAAGATGTGGTACCTTTTCCATATTGTACCATTACATAAAAATGAAATACACTCCATATAAAAAGAATAGAGGGCATCAAGTTTCCTATTTAATTTTTCACTTGTGCTGTTCTTTTATTGGTTAAATCTTTTTTTTTTTTTGGTAGACTGATGGTTGCATTATCGGTACACAACGTTGTGATAATGGAAAGTGTGTTTCAAAGCATTTATTTTGTGATTCCAAGAATGATTGTGGAGATTTTTCAGATGAAAAAAATTGCAGTAAGTTTCACTGAATAAATGTTCGTATATAAACAAGATGTTAAAACTTCATAATTCTTTGGTTTAATATACTTTTTTTAATGTTGTATTGTTTTATAATTTTATTTATCAAAGTAATAACATAATTATATAGAAAAAAAAAAGTTTTATAACCAATCAAGATTAAATGTTATTATACATGTATATACATATATGTATATATATATATATATATATATATATATATATATATATATATATATATATATATATATATATATATATATATATATATACACATATATGTATATATATATATATGCATGTATGTATATATTTATGTATGTATGATACATTATGATATGATACATATATGTATATATGTATGTATTTTGTATGTATGTATGTATGTTTGTATATATGTTAGGGGTGTTCAGAAAAAAAAAATTTTAGAATTTGAAAAACCAAACCGTCTAGATTTGAAGCAAATATGTTTAAACTTACTTCAAAAAATTTCAGCGCCAGTAAACCACTCTTTCCTTGCCCTCAAAGCACATGTTCAGAAAAAAAAGGACTCAAAAATGAATAAAAACGGATTACTTTAAGTGTCTTGAGGGCAAGGCTAGCATAAATATTTATAATAAAATTTTTTTTTGAGGGTTTAGATAAATATCTGTATTTTTGGTTAAAAAAGTATGGTTTTTTTCTTTCTTCTCAAAAAACTGTATAATTTACATTTTAAATCGACTAAAAAAAGGTTATTACGTGACACGGCGTTGTTATTAACCTTTTCAACAGTTAAATTCAAATTTTGTTATTTAGATTCATAATAAAGTTTGAAAATATATATATTCAAAATAAGAATAGAATTACTCATTTTATGTACGTTTATTATTTGTAATATTTTAATCAGAGTAAAGTAAAATACTCCTTAAGTTATGACTACAATTTACTATTTACTATTTGTCTTCAAAAACCACACTTTGCATTTTTTTTACTTTTTTTGCAAAATTTGGAGATTTTATTGCAAAAAATGTTCTTTATGTGCAGTATCAATGTCGTTCTGAAAAAAATCAATCATGTTCCAAAGTCATGTACAAAGTCATGTACAAAGTACAAGTATCATTAGTAAATATGCGGTTATCAAATGGTCTTTAAAAACATTTTTGATAAATTTGAAAAAAACCTTTATATTTCTTAATTCAATTAAGAAATAAAAAGGTTTTTTTCAAATTTATCAAAAATGTTGGTTTTGTAATATACGCAGTTTTAGCATATCACAATTCAATATTACTTATCAAATCAAAAAAAAAAATGTTAAATATTTAAAAAGTTTTAGTAAGTTTCTTCTATAGTTTATCTCTTTTTTTTTGTTTGTATTTATTTTATTTGCTAAGGAGATAAGACTATCAGATAATCTTTTTTTTGTTAGACTAGTGGAGTTTTTTCCAGAAATCCTGAAAGCAGAGAGAACTCTGTCAACTGATATCAATCTATTTTATTTTTCCTCTTTATTATTGTAACAATTGACATATTACTACATCATGCTGATGGCTCTTTCCGTATGGTCATTGACAACAATAAGGCTATTGGCATGATTTTCAAAAAATTTTAAATGAAGACTGTGTATGCTAGTATTGCGGTGGAAGTGAAAGCCAGTCTTTTATTCTTTCTTCATTTAAACCACTAAAACTAAACATAAGGTAAGAAAACTCATCTACTAAAGGGGCTAAGCTCGGTGGATCTTGCTCAGTACTAGCATTTTTTGTTTTATTTTTAACTTTTTTTGTTTTCATTTTTAAAGTGTTCAGCTTTTGGCATTTTCAATAAAAAAATTGCAGCTGCAATTTTTTGTTTTTCATGTGAAGACAAATCTTCATCCAATAAAACTAGTGGAACCATAGTTAAGTCTAAGTACTAAGTGTGCTTGTAAAGCGAATCAAGCACAGCATCAACTGCTTTTGGATTCCAACAAATATTTCTAAATTGACACATTACTCAATTCTAAATACCACTTGGCATAAAAACAGACCACAAATTCCGCAATAAGCTCGATTTCTTTTTTTGAGATCATTATTTTTTTGAACAAAGTCAAGTTGTGAAAACAAAAGCTGCATTTTCAGATAGTAAATTGCTTTACCAAGAAAGCAGGCATGATGGATAGCTCAGTTTTCCTGATTTTATAAACAGAAGGAGATAGATAAGTCACAACTAATTCAGCCAGCTCTCTTCTGTCTTAACGTTTATCTTCTCTTGCTATCCTCTTTCTTTCTATATATGCTTTGAAAAAGTTCATAGAATCTTCAGCAGCCTTTTCACTTATACTACCACTCGCCTCCTTCCAGTTAAACTTGTACAGATCACTTGGCGCATAACTAAAATTAGGATGTTCATATATCTCAAATTTTTGAAACTAAGCTCTCAAATTTTTGAAACTAAGTTTTCTGGTCCTGTAGTCAACTCGTTTGTTGTATGTTATCAAAAATGCACCATTCTTAATTTTGTTATGTGAAGCCTGCATGCTAATTTTAAAAGATATTTATTTAAATTGTTGGATATGTATGATTGAATCATTATTTTGATCCCGGTATTGCTTGCAGTTGTATCAAAACAAAGACCTTCTACTTTTGATTAAAGTTTATATACCTTTAGTAAGTTCATAATAATTGTATATTGGTCCTCACCAGAAGAGGAAGTCAAAGGAGAAACACCTAGTAGGTGTTTCTCCTTTTACTGACATGTCTAAAAAAGTTCAAGGTTGACACCCTGTCAATCTTAAACTTTTTTCCTGCATTAATTTCATAAAGAGTTTTTCCATCAAACTGTATAACACATGGATAAGGAGAAGCTTCTATTGCATTTTTTATATCCTCTTTTGCTAAGGTTGACATATTTTCTTTTGCTAATTTCATTTTTCTAAAGGCTATTGATTTACTGCAATGTGTATTTGTAAGTTCAACACCAGCTTCAGTTAAAATAACACTTGTCACTTTTTGCAAAACATTTAGCAAAACATCACCTAAAGTAGCCATTAGGGCAACATTCCCAGCATACACATCTATTGGAATTTCTGTAGTTACTGTACAGTTAGATTGAGATGGTTCTTTTTGATAATAGTTACTAGGCTCAAAATCAGAATCATAAGATGAATCAGAACTCAAATCAGAATTGAGTTTAGTTTCATAATTAGATTTAGTTGATCGCACATCCTTCGTTCTATTTTTCTTTCTGTTACTCTCTGCTGTCTACAAGCATAGAATAATGTTAATTATAACAAAATGTTTTATGAAAAAAATTTCACTTAATACTTTTAATTTTTAAGTTTTACCTTTCTACTAAATTTCTTATCTTCTGTTCCAAGATTAAACTTTCTTTCTCCTTCCTGATCTTCCAAAAACATCAAGTCTACATCTTATGCTTGTCAAATTTTTTTTTGTCGGTCCTAATAATGTTCTTCAAATCTGGCTTGCCTACCCAAAATACCATTTTTAAGTAATTCTTGAAGTTTTTCTGATTTGTTAAATCTTTAGGAGAACCTCTTTTTTCGTTTTTTTTTAAAATTAGAATACTGCTTGTCAAGTTTAATAAGATTTTTAAATAGTTGAGTGTCACTAACTATTTCAAACCTTGCTTTTATCCAGAGTTTCTTAACCTTAGCTAAAACACAGTTACAATCCAAATTTTCGCATCTTTCAAAATTTTTACGAAGTAAGCATGTAACCAAACTGATTTTTTTGGTGATTTAGGCAGTATAGATTGCAGGTATGCTAGATGTTGTAGAATATTCATGCCTGTTGGAAGTTGAATATCTAAATGCATAATTGTTTTTGTTCATTAGGTTTTATTGAGATAATTTAGACTACTCTCTATATTATATATTATACATTAAATTGTTCAAGTTTCTTACAAACTAAAAATTACCTTTAACTTCTGGTTTAGCTGCTTTAATAATAAACAATATCTTTT